ATAGGATCCATAGTAATTACACTTAAAACAACCGAGTTTATAATTTTAGAAGTATTTCTAAATGTGTCAAACTACTCCATCAAAACCTCCGAACCCTAATCACTTCTTAATATCTTTACACAAAAAAAAAGTTATATAATCAAAAATTCAATAACATTTATAAATCACCATTTATTTTAACTATACCTGCATTTGATTGCAGGTTTGAAATAAATCCATTTACGTGGCTTATTGCGATAAAAAAGCGCTTTTGATTGCTACTAATTTTAATTCTATCTGTTGCGTCTTTAAGGAGAAAATTGTTAAAGACGTCTCATACTGAATAACTTAGCATCCTATACAAATTGAGAAAATTGCAACATACAACTTAGACCGTAAAAAAATCAATTTAATTTCAAACAAATCATTCAGATATTACAACCTTTAGTCATTGATTATCTTTCGCCACAATTGTATATAGTTTATATTTTATAATATTTTATTTTTTTAGAAACATTCTAACAGATTTAAAAAAATGTGAGTGGTGCGCGGCATTCTTAGATAGTTGTGTAAGCGACAAGAGAAATAAATCAAATTCAAAACAAATTAATTTATTTTTGGGGGGTTTTTAATGATTTTTTAAACAATGTTTGGTTTGGTTTTACAGTGGTATATGGTTGTTTTTATTACATTGTCAATGCACACTATAAAGGCTAAACTTTTTAACAAGTGTATTTGAGCTTTTCAGGGAGTACTGCTTAACTAACAGAGTCAAGAAATCATTTATTACTTTGACTTTGCAATATGAAAATAATATGATCTTATTTCTTATTCATTTAAAAAAAAACTTTTCAAGGGTCAAGGAGGGTGCTATGGAAACGCCTCACCACGGAAATGCCTGAAAAAAACAGACTCATAAAACATAGCACACCGGTCAAGGGGGGGGGGCTAAAAGTCTGAAAGCGTACAGGAGATTACCATTTCATTTCCATGGGACTCTATGCATATAATTAATAAATCATACTGTTTTAATTAGAACCCTGGTTACGGGCCTGAGTGCATTGTATATAAACAAATACAAAATATTATGAAATATCAACTATATACAAATGCGTCGAAAAATAACCAATGACTATAAGTTTTAATATCTTAATGATTTGTTTGATATTAAATTGATGTTTTTTTTACGATCCCAGTCGCATGAATTGCAACTGTCTCAATTTGTATTGACTCTACGTTCTTCAGTATAAGTAATGTTTAACAATTTTCTGGACACAACAGATAGAAGTAAGATTAGAAGCGATCAAAAGCAGTTATTTTTCGCCGAAAGCCTATACTCCCTTTCAATTTTGCGAACACTCCCTTTCAAGCAGGTCAATATGATGCCTAAAATTGACTTTTAAGGGACATAGACGTTACTCCAGGTCTACACGGGTAACATTTCGTTGGATCATTTCAATCTCCCTTTGTACCCAAGCAAACAAAATTGTTAGAAACCACTCATATCGAAGAACGTAGTATCCATACCATGAGAAAATACGACACAGGTCGTAAAAAATTGAATTTAATATCAAACAATGCAATTAGATATTACAACCCATAGTCATCGATTATTTTTCGACGCATTCGTATATAGTTATTATTTCAATATATTTTTATTCATTTTATATATAATGCACATTGCACAATGCACAACGACGTTTTTCCGCAAGCTGTCTCTGCCTCATGTAATCATTCAAAGCATCGAGAGCAGAGACACCTGGCGGCTAACTATTTCGGCATTTAAAGTGCATTGTATACTAAACAAAATAAAAATGATTATGAAATATTAACTATATACGATCTGCGTCGAAAAATAATCAATGACTGTAGGCTGCAATATCTGAATGATTTGTGTGAAATTAAATTGATTATTTTATGATACGAGTCGTATATTGTAACTTTCTCAATTTATATGGACGCAACGTTCTTCAGTATTAGTTGTTTTTAACAATTTTCTCCTTATTTACGCAACAGATAGATGTAAGAATAGTAGCAATCAAAAGCGCTCATTTTTCGCCGTAAGCCTGCACCCACTTTCATTTTTCGCGAACACTCCCTTTAAATGATACCTCTAGATTTTTAAAATTTGCAATATCAAACCATGTTGTAGTCTTTTTCTTAGACAATGATATACTATTTATTCTTGAAAACAAAAACCGTGGATGTTTTAAAAATGTGAAAAACATCTTTGGTAACACTTTTATCAAGAAGAAAAGATTTTTCGAATAATAATAAATTTTTATATTTCTTGGTAAAGAGTCTCCTGGTTGCACTTTTTAAATAATTTAAAATGCTATAGGACCAATTTTTGTGTATGCACAGCAACCAAATACTTTGCTTTTTATCTTTCATGAAATGCAAATTTTTCTGTTTTAATATCGTTTAAAATATGTTTATATTTCTGAAGATTTTATCTATTCTAGGCTGAAATTGCAAATTTTCCACCTTTTAGCCCGCTCTCTTCCAACCGTCTTCTTTTGTTGAGAAAATTGAATTTAAACTTTTTTTACATTTATAAACATTCTAAATCTCAGATGTAGGAATAATCTTTAATTTTTCGGAATAATTTAGCTTGTCACACAAAAATAGCAATAATCTGAAACTGAAACCACTTCTTTTCATACACTTAAATTTTAACTGATTAAATTAGTTTTGTTAATCATTATTTTTCTATTACAATGAACTAAGTTTATTCAGTTTACATTAATTTAATGCTTCCTCACAAAATAACAGTTAAGTTTAGCTTTTACGCCCTTTATGTTCCATAGATTATAGCATCACCTTTTCATAATATATGCAACGACGCATATCATTTGAAAAAAAAAATTATTTCATTTCCCTCCGGAGAAAATTCTAGTTCTACACAATTTGTAAATGTTTTTTAACTATTATCAGAAAATATCATAAACTTGAACTTTTCCAACGACCTGTCAGTAACAGTTTCATCTACGAGCATACTTGAAAACACAAACGGCCAACTCAAAGAGAAACTTTGAAGTTTGAAGCTTAAAATTCATACTTATTTCGTAAAGCATATTTACACTATTACATTCAGGGGGCGCAGGGATTCCTTGTAATCGTAAGACTTTATAATAACACATTTCAATTCCATTGAACTTATTTTAGGTTAAAAAATTTAATCTGAAGTCAAAACCTTTGTGTTGATAATCCCTGGATCAAGCAAATATCCCTATTTTCTCCATTCCTACGGATTAACACTAGGATATGCTTTGGAACATATCAATCAAACTTAAAAGTTGTCCCTGAGGAATGAGGATATCTAGATCAAGCGGTGTACAGATAAGCACCTATTTCACAAAAAAAAGTTTGGTCTCTGAATCAACGAATACTTAAACTTTTGTAAAAATTCTATTTGGTATTACGCCTTAAAATGTTTTTTAGTAATATCACAAATAAATACATAACTTTTTCACATAATTGTGTTGTCAAACAAATTTAAACTCCTAAAACCATGACTTACATTTTTTAAAAGGTACTTTCAGTAGATTTTTTTTTATTTTAAAGGGACTGTAAAGGAAAAATGAATGGGGGTAAAGGATGAAACCTAAGAATCTCAGATGTTGAACGATACATAAAAGACATCTATTCGATTTTCCTGTCTAAAGAACTTGATTTAAAACTGTCAAAATCATACAAAAATTCATATATATACAATTTTGTATAAAAGTAGTACCCAGTCGAAACCAGTGCGTCTTGAACTAGGTGTGTAACTTCAAGACCCCTCAAGACGTTTCACCAAATATTCTGTAACATGAGAAATATCCATCAAAATATTTGCTAATACTTGAGCATCCTGCTTCCTATCCCTTTTTCAGGCACCCTAGTTGAGACTCCTTCACCCCTACCCCAGTTTAGCCTGTTTCTCCCTGCGTCTTGAAGAGGTCTGAACTCAAGTCAGGATTCAGTTTTATGAGGATATTATTTCATCAACTTGTGTTAAGTCCCAACCCCAGGTTATCAGCGGCTCAGGAAGTTACACAGAGAATATAAGTTTATTTGTGGACAATTTTCTGAAACCCCTTTCCAACTTACGCACATCTTATCTCCAGATTTTTGAGATGTATTGAATAAATTAACAAAGATGATTTACCAGCCAACTCTATTCTATTCTCTGTAGATGTTACAGGATTGTACACAAATATAACTCAGGATGATGGTCTACAATTCTGTAGTGGAGCCCTTGAAAGCAGAACTGATAAATCTGTACCTCCGTCAATTTTGATTAAGCTGCTAAACATTTGTTTGTAAAATAACATATTTGAATTTGGTGGTAAACTGTACAAACAATTGATAGGAACAGCAATGGGAATACATCCAACCCCTTCCTATGCAAACATTTTTATGCCTAAGCTTGATGATCAAATTGTGAAACTTGCAAATACATACAAAATAACTGATGAAGACCTGGAAAAGATTTCTGGATGATTTTTTTGGAATCTGGACAGTTTCTATTGAGTAATTATAGGGAGGGAGGGTGGGGAGTTGCAGAGAACAGGTTGAAAACAGCTGCACCAGCTAAAACATGTGGCGCTGCAACAAACAAAAAGAGGGAAATACGGGCAAACTGCAAAGCACCCCTGCAGTGAGTTTCCCATTAGTAATGATTCCACAAATTTTGAGCACCGGCTAGAACAGCATCTTTTCGGTCTTAACAAGACGCGTTCAAAAAGTATAAAATAGGAGTCTTGAAGACGTCCTATTCCCCAACTGAAACCGTCTGAGGTTCTTATCAGGTAGGTTTAAACAGATCATATTCAGCCAATATGCAACCAATCTGAAAACGATTATATCCCACAGGAGCCTGAGAATTTCAGGCTTGCACCTATTATAATTTTTTAATATTTATTTTGCAATTTTGATAGATATATAATTGGGCTTTGCTCGTGCTCGTAAAGTAATTAAATGTAAAATCTGAAGAAGAAAAAATATACATTAAGAACCAGAATAGGTAGACAACGTTAAATAAATATCTAAGTGTATTTGATGTTGTCACAAAGCAAATAATTTTACAATTAACTCATTGAAGGACTTTAATGTAAAATGGGTCTTTTTACTCTGCACAATTGCTGTGCCTCATGTTCATTGGACCATTTAAAGTCATAACTTTAGTCTAAAAGTCGTCTGGTTATCACTGTGGACCACACGACTTTTAGTCTTTTTATGTATGCACATGTAAATTCAATTTTTCGTTGATAATTTTTTATTGTTTTAAAAAAAAACATGCGTACAAGACAGTGCAAAGGGGAAAATCATAAATAAATACGAACAAGGTAGGTATCCTGGATAATAGCCAGGTAGGAAGCAAAGTTCTCAAGCTTATTGAACTAGGCCGAAGTACACAGGAGTATCCAAAAATAGAAGTTTGTGTATTAGAATCTTTAAACGTCGTGGTCTCCGTCTGTGAAGTAACCCCTGCTCAATAAATTGAAAATTAAACAGAAATTTATAAATAAATGATTAAAACTGCCATTATTTGATCTTTGATATATAAAAACTTACAAATATAGTGCCATAAACTGAAATTATGAATCATAAATATCTTATGAGGTGTTTTGTACTTACTCAAGGAAAGTAGGGTTCACATATTTAATTCCCATGTTTATTGGAACTCCTTGCTTAAATAGCTGTTTGGTTATTAATGAATTTTCAGTTCTTTTGGATTTTTTTATATTGAATAGTTTTAGTTTTTAAACTGTTTTATAAATCGAGAAGAGTTCCCATGAAGATTTTAGTTTTGCTTACCTACTCTTTGTATCCATGTTTTTTTAGTTGAGTGAAAGATTTTATCCTCATCATCCTAACACTCAAACATACTTAAGTATTAAATAACATTTATCTTCACTTACTCACTTTCAAGTTTCGTAGAAAATTTAAGCTATTCGACATTTTGGTTTTGCAATGTTAAGTCTTTGAAACTCCATTTTTTTACTTTTTTTTATAAAAATGTGGATCAAAGTTTTTTTTAATTAATTATTAATTTGTACCAATTTTATTTGGGTGTCCCTTAAGAGTGTGGATATTGATCCGAAACGTTGTCTTTGTACTTGTTTCCGGTTTACTTGCTGCTCCTGGAATATCTATAGAAAAATATCATGATTTTTATTGTTTAATGAATAATCCCCCTCACAGTCCTCCATAGAAAAGTCCGTCATAAATTGTAAACTCAGAACATTGCTTTAATTTTGAGACCGAAAAAACAATGCTTTCAACCAAAAGTGTAATAATTGTTTGCTACATTTTTCTAGAGATGTTTTTTCCAATTTTTTATTTTTCTTTTAAGAGATAGAATTAAATAGCACCCTTGAGATAAATTTTTTAGCCCTTACTAGAAGATAAGAGCTCAAAAATTATAGCTACGTGAACCATGGCATTATGTCCTCTGTGTATTTTTTCTATCTTGAGAAAGAAAAATATAAATTTTCGATCTATTCTGAGGTAGTTTGCTTATTTAGAAATATTCAAAGAATGATATACTAAAAGAAAAATTTGGGTCAAAAATAATTTACTAGGCCACAACTGTAAATCCATAGATTTAAAGATCACCGTATACACGGGCTCCAGCCACTTGAGATCCAAGGGAGTTTGAGGATATGCACTCATATACTCCAGAGAACTCCAGACTAAAACTAAAATAAGATAAAGATAATCTTCCTTAAACAACTGATAAGAAAAAATGCACTGGCAAGATGCAATATTTCAAAATTTGGAGATTGTTTTTTTTTACAAAAACTTTTTTCATTAATTGATACAATAGGTATGTATCTTTATTATCAGAAAAATCAAAACAATCTTTTTAGGTAATGGCTTCTCTCCCCCTAGTGTTGTGCGTTAAAGACGCTTTACTTAGTTGGTTTACAGAGATATTATACAGTACATGAATATAAATGGTGCGAAACTAAAAGGAGCACTTGAAACTTCAGTTAATTATAAACTCCTTTATATAACCAACAAACTAATAGCATCTTATTATACTGTCATATAAAACTTTTAAGTATAACAACTATTTAAAAGTTATCCACTACACTTAAACGACTTAATTATTTTCTTTTATACTTAAATCCAAAAAACAATCCATATTTCTTAATTTTGAACATTTTTAGCTGAAACTTTATATCAAATTGACTACGTTCTAAAACGATCTAACGCGCAAATATGTCAAAACTGAGTAACTTAAGAAGACCGATTTGGATGGGTTGAAATAATCCAAATTAGAAATATGACAGAGGAAATAACAATCAGAAAATGCTGATATCGATGGGACAAAAAAACAATTAAAAAAATACGGGCAGCGTTCCTCTACATTCAGCATTATTGCTATTTCTCGTTTTCTTGTAATTTACCCAATTTGAAGCTTTTTATTGTGGAAAAATTTGAAACCTACCACCGTGCATATGTGCACATAATATACTTTTCTCATTCTGGTTAATGACTCAATTCAATGGATGATACTACCCTTTTAGATGATTTTTTAATAACCGAGTAAGTTTTAGACAATTGTTTACTGCAGGAAAGTATTACTCATTATAAAGCTAGCATACCTGGGTATTACCAAGGATGTTGTATGAGTGTATCCCAAACTGTAATAAAATATTTATCAATAAAAACTTTAATGGGGAAACACTTAGAAAAGAAAAAAGTCGTTATTTATTAGATAGTTAGATATTCTAAGATTATTACAAATATGTAAAAACCGAAGAACTAAAGTATATGAGGTTGGTTGGGTTGAAATTATCCAAAAAATAAACAAGATAGCGGAAATATCCATTAGAAAATTCTGTTATTGATGGAATCAAGAAAGAGTACAGCTACGTTTGTCACTTTAAGTTTTAAAGATTTAAACATGGCATGAAACATTGTTTAAAATATGACAAAGAAAATTTGTTTCAAATATAAAATCTGAAATATTTGAGTTTAAAATTAGTGTTGGTGCAGTAGAACGGTCTTATATTAAATTTTACAAAGTTAATATTTCTAAAAGTGTGGGTTTACAAAAGATTTTGATAATGACAATATAAATTGTAAGAAACATATTATTATTGAAATTAAATATATGTAGTGGAAGAGAATAGTACTCCTGTATACATGTATACTAAGATTGAAGATATCCAGGAGACGTTATTATATTACTCCTTTAAAGATTTTAGCCTCGGCTTGTATTTAAACCACGGCTCAAATATGGTTGGTTACATTTAAAATCGTATTTAAAGGGAGTGTTCGCGAAAAATGAAAGGGGGTATAGGCTTAATGCAATAAAAAAGCGCTTTTGATCGCTTATAATCTTACTTCTATCTGTTGCGTCTATAAGGAGAAAATTGTTAAAGACGTCTCATACCGAAGAAATACAAATTGAGAAAATTGCAACATACGACTTAGACCGTAAAAAAATCAATTAATTTTAAACAAATCATTCATATATTACAACCTATAATCATCGATTATTTTTCGCCATGGCATTTGTATAAAGTTTATATTTTACAATATTTTTAAAATAATTTGTTTTGAATTTGATTATTTCTCTTGTCGCTTGTGCAACTATCTAAGAATGCCGCGCACCACTCACATTTTTAGAAATCCGTTAAAAACGTTTTTTAAAAATGTAAATGTAAAAAAATTAAAACTGTACTCCTGTGTGACCTGTGTAACTAAAATTCAAGATATCTAGGAGAAGTTTATTTTAATGTTTTTGGAAGTTGTACTTTTCTTTTTATAGTTTTATTTATGATTATTATAAGACTACCAGGGAATAGGAATAAAGGGAAAGGAAATGGCGCTGGTCTGGCATGAGAAAGCCAGTCGCACTGCTTTGCAGACAAGTTCGGTAAACTTTACACACACTCTTTTGGTACAGACACACAACATGACGTTTCCGCCCCATGGAGATTACATTATATAGATGTGTACAACATGTTTTTGTTTTTATTAATAATTTAACTTTAGAACTGCTATGGTGGATGTCTAGCATAGTTTTTGATATTGTAGAGGTTTTTGTCACTTTCATAAGATGAAAGATGGGAGAAATTCGTTTATTAGAGGGTTTTCTTCCAGGAACCTCGCTTATAGGGGAGCTGTTCTAGGAACCACGCTTATTGGGATTCTATTTCAGGAACACACATAAGTTTTTGGATATTGTTATGGTTTCAATGCATCAACTGTTGAGTGAGGTGCGGGGTTTGAACCCGTGGCACTCAGTGATGGGCACAATCCACTTTCTGGTCAATGTGCTTAACTTCAGTGATTTAACGAAAACTGGTCTAACACAGTTACCAACCCACCCCGTCAAGGAGAAGTAATATTACTCCTATACAAGTATACTAAGGTTGAAGATATCCTGGAGAAGTTAATATTACTCCTGTACTTCTACTATCAGATGAGAAACTCCAAGGTTCAGGCGAGAAACTCTAAGGTTCGGGTGAGAAACTCTAAGGTTCGGGTGAGAAACTCCAAGGTTCAGAGGAGAAACTCCAAGGTTCAGATGAGAAACTCCAAGGTTCAGATGAGAAACTCCAAGGTTCAGGTGAGAACCTCTAAGGTTAAGGTGATAAACTCTCTTCAGATGATAAACTTTTTGTTCGCGTGATTTACTCTATGGTTCAGGAGATAAACTCTTTGGTAAAGGCGATAAACTACCTCAAGACAAATTCACGAATTAGGACTGGAGGGGAGAGCGGCAATATTAACCTTCAACATTATCAATTCAATAAGCAGTTTTATTTCAACCATCAAAAATATTATAATTTCGTTATTATTTTGCAAGTATCCGTCACATTCAGTAATTTCAGTAACTCAACACAATGGCAGGGATAAAATTTTATTCGTAAAAGACAAAAGTTACCCCAAAGATTTAGGTGGTAAAATATCCCCTTTCTTGAATATAATATCAAGTTTTCTGCTGTACAGTGATTAAATGTTTTTGTTGAATATGACACAGAATGTTTCTCAATTTATTTGGAATTTATTGACAATTCCACCAAAGGTGGAACATGAGTTAAAGAAATGTGGTAGAAGAAGAATATCTGATATTAGTGATTATAAGTACATTGAGACCAGTATATCTACATTCTGCAGATCCAATATTCATTTAACAAATGAATTTCAAAATAATCTTTGCATCCCAAAATTTGAAGTTTTATCTATACTCATTAATAAAGTAAAAATGATGCAAGAGACTCCAAAAAAAAAACTAAAAATCTTTTTTCAAGCTTGCAAGATAGTTTTTTTTAATGTTAAAAATCCATTTTTTCTCTGTATGTTTTTATAGTTCATGCAGTGTATTGTATCCCTTTCTACATCATGTTTCATGATTTTCAATCTTCAGGATATATACAATATTCAGATTCTGAAGATTGCGTCAGCATATACTTTTTTATACCAAATAAAAATGTTCTGAGCTTATTCTAGAGATTGCAAAAAATATATCTATATTATACGAATCATGGAAGATAGTAGCAGCATATTTCTATCGCTCCGGTCTATCGGAGGAGACCGGAGTAAAACATATTAACGCAACCTCCTACCGGAGCTAAGGAGAAGAAAAAACCATCCAACCTTCCCTTTTCTTATGATTATTTAGACCGTTAAACTGTTTGATTTATTTACCCCCCTATACTGTGAGGATTTATCCCCCCCATGAGTTGCAGAAAATACTACTTCCCTATTTTGCAAATAAACGATAAACGTATTCATATAAAGTGTGGACTTTTTTAAACTATGAAAAAAATGAGTAACATTTTCAACGGAGACCTCCAAGTTTTCATTGGAGACCCCAAGTAAAAAAAATAAATTTAGTTTTACCTGTGAGATTCAGTGTGGTACTCAGTACTGGATTTTGATATTAGCATTATTTTTCCCGAAGAATTTCCCTTATCCTTGTTGCTCCTATCCTTGTTGTTGGACAAACCCCTTTCCTTCTGCCAGTAGGTTATAGGAGCAGGATAAGCCTCCACGCTACAGTTTAAAACTAATCTCTCTCCTAAAGAAGTATTAAAAATTCCAAGACATTGTTTGTGACTTGCAACAGAGAGTTTTGTTGGTGCAATATTTCTAGTGCTATGCTTCTATATGGATAAATTGGGCCTTAAGCAATATTATTGCACCTCTTTTAAGGAATTAACGTAATATGCAAACACATATACTTAATCCCATCCAGGGCCGTTTCTGTAGGGGGTTACAAGTGTAAAGCATAATTTTTTTATATCTTTCTTAGTTAAATTTAGGTTTATCCCCCTCAGCAGTATTCATAGTCAAACAGTTTTTCATGTCTAAACAAAAACATAAGTGGCATGAACCCTAACACTGTAACCACATCTTTAAAATAAATAAAAAATAAGTACAACTCCTAAAAACGTTTTATTAAAGAACCCAAAAAGATTACGGGGTACACAATGGGGTATCAGGGGGGAGGCTTGTTTAAGGAGGGGTATTTAAACCTTTTAAAGATTGAACATAAACAACACTTTTTTTAAAAGATACTGAATTACAGATTACATTTAAATAAAAACTATTTTTTTTCTGTTCATTCCTCTGAGTTCAGTCATAAAATGTCTATTGTATTTAGATTCTCGTACTTCAAGTAAACTTCTCCCAAGATCCCAAACCTCTAATAGAACGATAACTTTTAGATGGTAGAGTTCATGTCCAGGAAGGTTAAAATGTTCTCCTGTAGGCTGGTTTGTATGAATGTAACCATTATGTTCTCTCACTCTTTCATCTAAAGATCTTGGTGTCTGTCCTATATATTGTAGTTTACACAGCTCACATGTAATACAGTAAACTACATTTCTGGTTTAACAGTTGAAAGTTTCATTGATCTCAATCTTCTTACTGGTATCAGAGGATTGTATAACTGTTCCAGGCTCTTTGTAGGGACAACTTGGGCAATTTAAACCACAAGGTTTCATACCAGGTATTAGCCTTTTTGGCCTCATTCTGGGAGGATCTGGAATTCTGGCTCGGATGAGTTTATCCCTGAGATTAGGAGGTCTCCTATAGGTAACCATAGGTGGCTTTTGAAAAACCTCCTTCATCCAAGGATCCTGGACCATGGTTCTCCAATGTTTCTGTATGATGGAGGAGATGCAAGGCAGCTGGGGATTAAATGAGATAGAGATAATAACTAGATCTGGTTTCTCCTTTTTCTTAACTTTCTTTAAAGCAACTTCTCTAGGTGTAGCTTTAGCCCGGACCATAGCAGAGTCAACAATTGTGCATCCCTGAGTTCTGGTTTGCTGCAAATTCGTACAAATCTGTATGCAAGTGAATAAGGTATGTTGTTAGAAATATGTGCCGGGTGGCAGAATGATGGAAGTAGGTACATATATCTATCTGTGGGTTTTCTGTAGAGATCTGTTGTGATTTTTCCATCTTCAGTTTTGTGTCAAGGAATGAAATACTTTTTGTTCTGTGGCACCAACAGTCATATGTTCATCCACGATAAAATGAAGAACTATGTTCTAGAATAAACTTGACTGTAGGATTCATTTTATTGATATCAGTCAGGAATTGATATAATTTCTTAATAGAATTTCTCAATCATCCAGAAATCTTTTCAAGATCTTCAGAGGGTACTCATTAGTTATTTTACATGTATTTGCAACTTTCACAATTTGATCATCAAGCTTAGCCATAAAAATGTTTGCATAGGAAGGGTCTGAATATGTAACTGGATAAATATGTCTTGCGTAAAATAAAAACTAGAAGAGCTATGAGGTCACAAAGCCGGTTAATAATTTTGTTTAAATTTGACCCTCTTCTCCATTCCAGTGAACAGTTCGAAGGTGCAAGGGTTAAAGTGTAAGGGTTAGAAGGAGTAAAGGGATATATGTATAAGTATATATATATAAGTATAAGTATAAGTATAAGTATAAGTATATAAGTATATATAAGTATATATGATATTGAGCATGTTTCTGATTTTTAACGTTAACGATTCAACCTTTCTTTGCAAGTATTCATGCTTATTTTTGTAACTTATAAAAGGCTAAACCAATTTTAGATATTGGCACGAAAATAAAAAATTCTTTTTATAAATAATGGCATGTTTAGCTTTATATACAAAAAGGTCACTAAATGTCGCTGTAACTTAGTTTCTAGCATTCATGGAAATGCAGATATGGTCCTGCTCTATTTTTCATATTGAGTAATGAGTATGCAACTGGGGAGAAGTGAGGTTTTATTAATTGTACCCATCTGTTAGGTTAACTTAATGAATTCATTTGGATAAGTGGCTCATTTAATTTTTGTCTAATCTATAATAAATCAACAATATTTTACCTACAGGAATACCAATGAGTTGAGGTTGAACAACAACTGATGGAGAAACTAAAAAAAAATTTTATTAATCCTGTGCAAGAAATTACAAGCTTTATAAAGCATATATTTTGCCATAACAATGAGACTGGATTTAACAAAAACGGTTAGAGTGAGTGAGGGTTGGAGTAAAATCCCAGGGTTTGTAGTAAAATCCTAAGGCATGGAGTAAAATTTAATGGTTTATTTTTGGAAATACAAAACTTTATTTTAAATTTTAATTTTAAATGGCCCGGCTATTCGTTTTGATCAAAGAAACTGAGTTTTCGCTATAAATTCAAGTTTTCTCATCCCTATATCTTTGCAACTCAATGTCGTAGCCATTTAATATTTCAAACTATGAACTTTGTTAGATCAAATATTCTAAGCTTGTAATATCAAAGGTTTACATCATCATGTTGAAAAAATATTGGGATTCGAAAATTTGAGTTTGTGATATTTAGACTCATTTATACTTCGATAACATTTTCATGGGCCGGGGGAACATTGAAAAAAAAATTAATTTTTCAACGATGTAAATCAGCATTTTTTTTAAATAAAGAACCTAAATAGGAGATTTAAGTTCCACCTGAAATGGAATGACAATATGCTCCAAAAACTCTTTTTAAAAATCTAAAATCCTAGTGTTATGCTACTTAATTAAAGGGACTGTAAAGGAAAAATGAAAGGGGGTATAGGCTGAAAGCTAATCACTTTAGCTCTTGATCGCGACCCATGAAAGTTTTATCTGATGTTCCTGTCTCGAAAAATTGATATTAAACTGTGTTAAAATTATACAAAAGTTCATATATGTAAAATTTAGAAAATCTTAAACTTAAATCACGTGACCAGAACTATCACCAATGGCAGAGCAGTATACTGGTCACGTGTCTCCGCCAGTATCACGTGACCACTTTACTGCACTGCCATTGGTGGAATTTCTGGTCAAGCAATACGGACGTATAACTATTATTATGAATTAAATCTATAAAAAATAGAAATAACAAATATAAAATTAAAATTGGAGTAAATTTAAGTTACAATTAGCTTTCTCTAGGATATCATCGTTTTCAGATTGGTTGCATATTTGCTGAATTTGATCTTTTTAAACCCACTACTTTTATACATTAATTTTCGTATAAATTTGACAAAGTTGTAAATCAGTTTCTCGAGAACATCAGATATAACTTTCATGGGTGGCGATCAAGAGCTAAAGTGATTAGCTTTCAGCCTATACCCCCTTTCATTTTTCCTTTACAGTCCCTTTAAGAGAATTAAATGAATTAAAAGTTGCAAATTAAAAAAAGAGATTGATTAAGTTGATATAGACATATGAAAAGAGCGATACTGGAGATATAAAAGCTGCTAAATACGTCATAAACAATGTAGGACACTTTAGGAAAGCATTGACAAAATTAACAAGAATTATCAGTGACATTTTTTATATTAACTTTTTGTATATTTTACATTTTGTACTTGTTGTTTTTTGGGACACGCTTTTTTAAAATTTGTTTTAAACTCTGGAATATAGCAAGAAACGTATAAAATTGCAAGAATCGGCATTTCTAGGTTACTTGAAAGAATGAAATGTTGTCAAGGTACAAAATTGCCAGGGTTAACATTCCACCCCTGATTTATTGATCTTTAAATTAAAACTTACAGTTGACATGAACCATGATTCGTTTGCTGACTGCAGGAGGAACATTGTTGTTTGCAATACAGAGGAAGGATCCCATGTGTTGCCGTCGTACATCAAGTAACGGCAGAGTTCCACCTTGAAAAAGAACAGAGTAAGATTTTTAAGTAAATTTTAAAGACAACAACATTTTTTCGTTTATAGTGCACAAATTGATTTAATTGTTTTAAAGATATTGCAGTTGCCCTTAAAATCTATTCTCATCTATAGTTATCGATTTATAACGTTATTTTTAATGTGATATCTGTGATACATACCTACAAATTTAGTAACTGTTTGAACTATATTGTGAGAGAGAAGCTTAAAACTAGTCTTATCCTCCCTTCTCCATGTAACCTAATTATTCAACAAATTAGATCTAATTTCAACTTTTCTTTCTGTCATCTTCACAAGTTTAAACAAAATTAAAATTATCATGAAGCAAAAAATAACGGAGTGAATGACGTTTTGGGTAATAGATAAATACTTAACCTTGGGTGACGGGAGACCATGAGCCACACACGTCAGTGTTATATTTGAACCTTCCAATACTGAGATATCACTAGATGTAGTTCTTACGTCAATATCAGGAGGAACTGCATAATTTGAAAGCAAATTATTCATAATTGTTTTAAAACTCACGCCAAATATTATTTATTAAGTCAAATGAGAACGTAGAATTGAAATGGACGTAATTATTTAGTTATATTTTCTTTCATTAATAAAGCTGAACTTCTACTTTTCTTTTCAGAAAATTGTAATTCAAGTAATTGTTATATTTTTATATCTTTTAATGGCTATTTTTTATTTTGCCTTTGGTAATAAGTAAATAGAAAAGGTTGACATAGATCCAATTAAAGGGGTATACATATTTACCGAGTACATCTACACAGCCAACTTGTTTCTTCATAATTGCAGTGTTAATCTGACACATATAGCAGTCTCTATCTTCAACCACTACATCCTGTAAGGTATAAAAGATAAATATTTTACAACTTACTTAGATTTCTAGTAAAGTGGTTAAATACGTATTAGATGTGTTTGTAATTAGTAGCTACAAAAGGTTGATTTCTTGAGTGCGTATCCTAAGGAGTATACAAATATCTGAAAGGTAGGTCTGAAAAATCAACAGAATCAAGTGACACTCTTCGATGAAAGTAGTTCTACAAAACCGAAATCCTCTAGTTTTCTGAAAATTTTGTATATCTGGCAAATTTGAAGATACAATTTAGACATCCCAGAAACATATTTATTTCTTTTTACTATATCAAAAAATGTAACTTCTGGAAAATAAAACTCTGTAAAAAAACTATTTAAAAAAAATTGACATAATTAGATTTAACCAAATTTAATCTTATCATCAGTCAGTTCTTAGTGGGTATCTCACATATATTAACTTAGTTGCTGTCGGATTTCAGGATGAATGTTATTTCCAGGATGAAGATTTGATGGCGGGATAGTGATATACATTTGGGACATCTTGGAAATAAAGGACGAAAATGCTTCATTTGAGAAAAGCTACAGTGGGTACAAAACACCTAAAAACATAACACCAAAATTCTAAAACACCAAAAAACAAAACACCCACATTAAAAAACACCTAAATATCAAAACACCTAATGCCAAAACACCCGCCTAAAGGAATTGAGTCTTAGCAACAAACATTTTCTTATTTCTACATCTTTGCAACGATATTTCAAACTATGAATTCTGTTAGATCAAATAATAAAAGTTTGAAATATCATAGCTTCACGCCGTCAGGTTGCAAAGTTATAGTGATTACAAAATTTGAGCTTGTGGCAAAGACTCAACTCCTTTTAACTTCTTCACTGAAGGGTAAAACACCTAAATTTCATGTAAGGGTAAAAGACATTTCATCTTAGGAAAGAAACATCAAAATTTTCAAAATACCTAAATAAAGGTTAAAAACAACTAAATTTTAGAAAAGAAACAGCTAAATATTTAAATTAACTTTATATGAATTAATGTAACTAATTATAAAATAATAGTTATTAGTTATTAGTTATTATGTTTTCCTGCAGATTGAAGTAGAGTAAAATATCAAAATCAAAGGATAAGAGAAAGTGTGATGATTTTTAAAATGTACTCCTTTAATGTAATGAAATTCAATTTTTATGAAGTTTTTAATTTAAAGTTTTAAATGATTAAATGCTTTTTACCTTTACATGAAATTCAAGAAGTCTTTTAATAAAGGTGTTGAAATTTAGGTGTTTTGAAATTTAGGTGTCATGTTTTTTTGGTGTTTTGTACCCACTCCAGCTTCGGTATACCAGCTCAATAAAGCATTTTTGTCCTTTATTTTCCAGATGTCTTTAAAAAAACTCGTCCCCAGTTTGTGATTTTTTTTTCATCCTGAATGAAGAAATATTGTTGTCATTTCTCTCTTTTTAATTGATGCAAGACTTATATATTCAGTTCTCTCTTCTGAGTTCCTTTTCTCCATTTTGAGTATGACACTTTTATAGTATTCCTATATAAAATTTTAACTTATGGAATTTATAGATACTGATTTACTGAATGGTGGATTGAAAAGCATGAAATATTCCTTTTTCTGTTTTCTTGAGGGCAACTATGTATGGAGGAATACGCAACATTTATGTGGAAAGTCTCTGAATTTTCTTTTTTGTAAATATTCGTTGAATTCTTGTGCGGGGTCGAAATGAATATTTAGGAAATCAGTACATTTCAGGTTCGTTTTTAGGTTAACTCGAAATCTTGCTTTTTAAAACTCCCAACCTTTTATTAAACTTGTATAGCTGAATTCAAAATGAATCCAAGATATTTTAAGTTTTTACCAAAATTTGCATAATTAACCGCAAGAAAACTGTTGGTTCTTTTCAAAGAAGTTGGGTTGGGAATCTACAGAACCCTCCAGGTGTCTGAGATGATAAAGATATTTGAGTTTGATAATTTCTTAAAAGAGGTTAAAATGGTGAAATTATTTGGGATTGACAAAATAAAAACTGCTTTTTATAGTTGAAAAACTGAGAATTTTTTAAAAAGATAAAACTGTTTTTTTTTTAAATACAAAAAGATGATGAGATGAAAATAAATATTCTGGATTTAATTATTTAAGTTTCAAACATGTTTATTCGAAATAAAATCGAGGACCTTTGAACAATTTTTAAGGTTTGCCTTATTCGATACCGTAGATAGAATTACAATCTATAACTATGTACAGTCAGGTTTCACAAATTTATACTACTACTTTTTAGGGCTCAGTGATTTGTGATTCTTAATTAATTGCTTACCTTGATATGGAGATTCCAGGTATTATGCTCATCATGTGTAACATGTATTCTCTTGTTGTTTGTGATGACTCTTTTGTGAAGGCTAAGAATTGTCTGGTCACTTGCTTTGATCCATCCAACCTGATAAAATAGTAAACGCCTATAAATATTTCAAAACTAGCGATTTATAGATATTTTATGATATTAGCTGGTTGCATAACAGAGGTTTTTAGAAGATATACATGGCTTAAGTACCTTGTAGTCCTGTAGATTTACTACTGAGCAGGAAAGAATGGCTTCTCGTCCAACGGAAACTGTCATGTTTTTTACACTGTTTATAAATCTGGGTTCAGCCTCATACTGATGTCCTGAATTTCAGAATTTATATAATCTACTGAAATATACGTATGCAATTAAAAAGACAGTTAAGCACTCATTTTAATCTCTTTTTTTCAATTTATCTTCATGAAACTTTACCTTGTAAAGAGATGACAGGTAGAGAGATGATAAGAATATGTATCAACATTTCACCAGTTTTTAATCAATAATGTTTGTTCTGCCACACTTTCAGCTCATTTTGAAGAAACTTATTCAAGTCTGTTTCCGAATTCAGGCTTAATGGAACCTAAAACAAACATGGTTTATGGTAAATGTAATACCTCGGGGCGTCAATGAATATTTTCTGGGGGGGGGGATTCAGAGGTAATTATGTTTGGCATTTGAAATATTATAGAATGTCTTCATACTTTACACCTTTTAGTAATAACCTTTATAAATATTGTATATTTCGGTTCAAACCCAAACCTACAAACTCTCGCCCCTTCCACACCCCCCAATCAAAATTATAAATTATAAAAATATTAATGATGATATTGTATTTCAATTAAACATAAATTTAATGTTAACTTTTTCATTTCATTGGTTAAAAACTAACAATTTTGAAAAAATATCAATTTAATCACACAAATTAGATAAAGGAATTAAGTCTTTGCCACAAAGTTTGATTTTCTATTCACTGGACTTTTGCAAGCCAAAGTCGTAGACCTTAGATATTTCAAACTATTAAATATGTTAGATTAAAAAGTTTTCACCGTCAGGATTTCAGTTTCATTTTAAAGGATATATACTAATAGGCTTTCAGGGCGATTCGTGTCTCTTTTCTTAATGCCTACTGCAAAATACCATCCAGGAAACTCTATTGCCGAAAACCATCCGGGAACCCCTACTTCCTTAAGTTCCATTCGGCAAACCCTACTGCCAAATATCGTCCAAGAAAGAAAATGAGTTTTAGCCACAAGCTCTAATTTTTCAATTACAAAACTTTGCAACCCGATTTTGTAAACTTTTGATATTTCAAATTATGAATTCTGTTAGATCAAAAAGTCTAAGTTTGAAATATCAAAGGTATCACGTTGCAAAGATATAGGGTTTGAAAAAATTGAGTTTGTGGCAAAAAGTCAGTTCCGTTGACAACAGTAAATAAAAAAAATTATCAAAGTAAGTACATAAGTTTGCTATTTTTGCCCATTTTCACTAGTAATTAGGATGTGCAATGTTCCGTTAACGGAAGGCAAGCGAACGGAAAAACAAATTGATGGGTTATAAAAAAGAATGAACGTAATCGTATGTGTTTCTACTTAAAAATTGCATAAATTACTTTCAGATAAAATCTCATTCTTACGTGGTTTGATGTTTTTAAGTTACATTAAAATTGTCCAGCTATTTTTACAATAAACAATCTTTAACGGCTCGTTAACGGCTGGCAACGCTAACAATTTCTAAAATATCTTCTGTGAACGTCGTTAATAAAATTTAAATCGTTAACGAACGGAAACTTTGAGAAAGAAAAGAAAATGCCGTTAATAAATGGAATGTTAAGTATTTTGCTGAAGAACGAACTGCTACATAAAAAGTTTTTTTTTTAACGATTTTAACAAACCATTAACGAACAGCTTTAAAAAAATCTGATCTTGCCCAGACCTACTTGTAATTCGTATTACGAAATTTTACTCAACATTTTATTCAATCTAAGCTTGTTTCATAAGTCAAGTCGTTACTTAGTTCCTTGAACAAATTGCATTATGTACTGATCAATCTGGTTTTTGCCAATTATTAGGAATCATATGGGATATCCAAAAGAAAGGATTAAACAGAAAATAAAAAAAATTAACAATGTATATCGAGATTTAGCAATCGGGATTAAGGGTATCCAAAACAAGACGTTTCAACTTTGAATAGATTTTTTAAAATTTTCAGTGTGTTAATTAGTTAATCGCTCAAGTCTTATTTCATTGAACCAATCGCATTAGGTACTTAAGTTAGTTCAAAATACTAATACATGTTCTTTGTAAAGTGAATATATTCATACAGAATTTTTAATCTGTTTTGATTCAGACTCTAAATTGTCTTCAATTAATATCTTGTTTTCAAAAATTTTCATATTTTAAATAAATAAGCTATTAAGGCGCTTCGCGCCGATCTTTTATTTTAATTAGTATCTCTATGTATGCATTGTATAAAAAAAAGTAAAAACAGAAAGTAATAATTGGGTTTCCTTTTTCGACAATAAATATTTTTCTCAAATTTGGATGATTTTCGTTAATGAATGCAGAATTGTCCTAAAAAGCAAAACAACTCTAGCAAAGGGATTCTAGGATTAAGATATTTTGTCTCTCCCNACTCAGATATCTAGCTAGTTGAACCAGTGAAAAAAAATTCAGATTTGAAAATATCAAAAGTATTTTCAAAATTTAATAACATAGCAAAAAAAACTGGAAAACTTCCAGATGCAAGATTTATGCAATATGATTCCTTTTATCAACGGCAATTTAGCTAGATATTTTGTCTTCAGTTTTCCAATATTTTTTCTTTCCTTTAGCCATACATTGCACAAATAGCCATACATTATTTTTACTACAAGAAAAATGGCATCAAAAATTAAAAATGTCGTTAAAAGCTCAAGAAAATCCCGCTCAAACTGAATCCTTAGAGTTTATTTTATCGATAAACTATAATGTGTAATAAGTTAATAATTTCGACCTTTTCTAAGACTTTCTGAGATGAGATTTTAAAAGATTAAACCCGACTAAAACCCAAACTCGGGCTTAGATAGAACCCAAGTCAGGATTGGTTCTGATTCGACCAATGAGAGACTGTTTTGCAAGCTTTCTCTCTGTAGCAGACATAATGCCGTCAGATCAGCTGTGATAAGGAGATGTAAATTTCGAAAATTCAAACTTTATGTAGATACATTATTTTCATAGTATGTTTATTTTATATAATTAATAAAATTTGACACCACAAATAATTCCAAAGATTTTAAATGTACAAATATAAGAGATTTCACGAAATTTACAATCATCAGCTGCTGAAGACTCGAGCCTTAAAGAGAGAAAAACCCAAGATGGTTGGTTCTTACTAAACTCAAGGCCATCCAAAACCCCGGCCTTGACTTGAGCTTTACTAGGGTCTGAGCAGACGCAAAGACCGGGTTTTAGTCGTGTTTAAGCGTTTAAAATCTCATTTCTGGTCAAAAAAAAAATGCTCCCACCCCTCCACTAGCTAATTCCAATCTACCTGTCTGCCCAAACAAAAGTATTATCTTTTTATAACTAAACAATTTTTTGATAAATTAGGTGTTCCACAGGGAAAATGTCTTTAATTCATTCTTAAATAGAATTTAAGATCTACATTCTACATTTAGAAGCTTCTCCCAATTTTCTAGGGTTTTTTCACCCCCCTTTCCGCCTGCCCCTTTGCTGTCTAAGAGCCGTTTTACTTTCTAACTAGACTTAAAACTTAGCAAACATAAATTAAATTGTTTAAATGTTGTCCTTCCATTTCACAGTTTTATGAGTCCCACTGTATAAAAGTTATAAAATTAAATGTAAATAAACATTTATATTCCTCATCCTCAATTTGAATATTTTGGTATATTGAGTATTTCAAAAATAATGGTTTTACTGTTTGATTACCTCAAATTAAAAAATATGTTTTTTACTAAATAAAAACATCAAATTGATTTTTATCGAAGCTAATACTGGAATGACAGAGAATTGATTTAGAGAAAAGCCAAAAATTATCATGAAAACTTTTTTTCTATAAATGATGTTCCAGGGCCCAAAACGTTAAGTAGCACAAATGTGTGAAGTACACCTGCAGTATGTGAAGAGTACAACAAAAGGGCCGTTTTACACTTTTTTTGTGTAAATTCCACTCTATATATAATCTATTCTCTTTGACTACAATGAAAATAATAACTACTACTACTGGATATTTTTTTTTTTGCGGTACAAGTATATAATGGTTCATATTTAAAGGATATTTCAACGTCGGCGAGGCATTTTTGACCTCTAAATTTAGATGTCCGAAATGTTGAAGCCACGTCGAAATATCCCGAGAAAATGAATTAGTTACTTGTTCCAAAGAAAAAAAATGATATCCAGCACTTTCTAAATCAGCAGTACGTTGATAATTTTGTGTCACATTGCGATTACATATTCTCTATTTGGGATGTGTTGAGAATATATTTTTTGTTTTTTATATAAAAAAAAATTCATTTGTAATGAGAACACAAAATTTAAAAATCTGATTTAAAACTCATTCCTGCACATGGAGTCCCTGAGCTGAGAAAACGTTTAGAAGAGCAACGATGGACGAGAGTTAGAAGATATACGCCGATGATAAAGTCTTCGCACACATTAAGGACAGGAGAAGGAAGGTCTACGTCCTGGCAGGATTTTAAAAACTTCAACAGCGATTTTGAATTCGAGGATGGACACCCTGAAGAGGAGGCCATTGTTACCTATTTTAAACATCTAAGACTGGAGAAAAAATGGCAACGTCATCAATTTGGACACACTACTCCTACTCCTACATCAACAGTGTCATGAAGTGACAATATGGCGGGAAGCTGCAGATCCTACCCAGGATCACAATGACAATCACGGGGTTTGAGGCATAAGGACGCGTATTTGAAGAGGAGGTGAGTGATTTAATTTGCAAGATGATATATAAAGTGATAACCAGAAAACTGAGAAGATGACTTTTAGACTCAATTTATGACTTTAAAAAGTCTTATGAGCACGAGACACATAATTGTGCAGTGTAACAGACCCATCTTACTAAATTAGTGATTTAATCAGTTTTATTGTATGTATGTACGTATGTTAATATTTAGAAAATTGGTTTAGATTAATTCAGGTGCAAGATGCTTATCAATTTTTTATATTTTTCAATATTTTTTTTATGTAAAAACTCCATTAAATTTTTATAACCCCCTATATAGGGAAGATTTTAATGAATTTCAATCTAAATCAACTTTAAAGCCAATATAAGAGATTATACTTTTATTTGGCAATGTTTACTATCGGTAGTAAACGTTACTTTTTTCCAAATAAAATTACGGAATATCTTTTCTATATTTATTAGGTAAAATAATTTGCTGCTAAGATAACCTTTCCTAAACATATTATTATAAAAAAATTAACTTGTCATGAGGAGTAATGGAACGGTTATTAAATAACTTTAAAATAACATCAAGAAGAATATCTTATGCGTTTGGTTTGATCAAAAACTTCAAAACTTTGAAATGCAACCAAAAGATCGTTTAAACTTAGATAAAAGTGTAAAAACCTGCGTTTTTGCCACAAACTACCCCTATGTCTTTGTAATCCGATTTAATCTTGTTTTGCATGTTATCACAGAATGTAAATGATAACTGAGAATAATGCTTTAAATTTCTTTTTATGTATCACATAGAAATCTTCCCCTTGAATAGAAATATTTCCTACTGAGTACATCTATAAATCTAGTTGAAGAACTCAAGATAAAATAAAAGCCAGCTGATACTGAATATATTCTTAATAAATAGGTTTAATCGAGATTCTTGGGATACAATTAATGTTTTTTACAACTTAATTTTTTATTTTTTTTTAAACGTGGCATGACATAAGTCATCAGTTAATGACAGTTTCATATTGGCACCTTTTAAACCGACCGATATTTGATGAAAGATTGTAGAGCAATTGAGTCTTGGTCACAAACTCTGATTTTCTTATCCCTGTTATATCTTTGCAAACCAATGTCGTAGATCTTAGATACTTCAAACTATGAATTAAATAATGTAAGTTTGAAATACAAAAGGTTTACATTATCTTGTTGCAAAGATATAGGGATTATAACATTTCAGTTTGTGGCAAAGACTCCATTCCTTTGTTACAAATAAACCTTTAGCGGTCAAACTTTACTATACAAAATGTGTAAACACAAACAAACGCCATATTGATATACCTGGCGGTGTGATTTATATCATTTGGACTAATAGCAGAATGAACTTAATGTCAATTAAACTGAAGTTAGCTGTTCACAAACCGGTTTTTAGTTCATTTTAAGATTGGTTCATATGACAAAGTAAAAAAAAAATTCAAATGAATTAATTAAAGAAAAAAAAATTATATTTAAACACATAGGCATCACCATTTGAGAGATCTTTGGCCGCAGCACCGGCCCCCTAGCCTGTCCTAGCCGCGGCGCTAGATGTACCCTAGCATGTCCTAGCCGCAGCGTTAGGCCCCTAGCCTGTCCTTCCCGCAGTGCTCGGCCCAAAAATTGTCGTAACCTTACCTAACCCTAAAATATTCAGATTACATGATTCCTTTTTTGTAAAATTAGTAATGCTTAAAACTGAATAGGAAGTATTTTTTTTAAATTGAAAAATTAGTTCAATTGAACAAATATAATTGTTTCAAAGGACTAGAGTCCTTTCTAACGTTATTTAGTCCAAATAAACATTTGTCCAAACGAACGTTAGTCTATAATTAGTGCAATTAATATGACACCGGTCTACATATACGTTGTTTTGATATAAAGTTTGACGCCAACATGTTTAAAGACCGGATATATAAGCAGTTGTTAGACGTGTTCCAGGATGGAAGTGTATGCACCCTCCCCTGGGCATGGCTCTGCTCCCCCCTAGATATAAGATAAGCCATTCAAAAAATAATTCAACAACTTTATCTTTTGATGAAGATACTTGAGTTTTCCATATATTAAAAAGTCAACCCACCCCACTTAGAATTTTAAAACCAGGTAAAAAACATTTCAGTGGTTCTGCCGAATTCTCAAAAAAAAATTTCAGCCTTTCGGTCCAGGGGTTCTTGATTTTTGCTCAAAGAAGACCTAATATTCGAAAATGTACTTAAATTTAAGATTTAAATAAAAAATTTAATTATGATTTTATTTTTACGTTTTATAGAACAGAATAGAATAAACTGCGCATTTTAAATAATAGAATTGAGGATTTAAAATAAATGACAATAAAGATGTTTGAATTCTTTTTGAAAACATTTTTTTAAGTTAAAACGGCATTTTAGAGCAAAATGTTTCAACGACGACCCACCTACTAGTAACACTTTATTGTACACTAAAACAACATTTAGTGGGTGAAAAGGCAATTCATGGGACTGAGCACATTTTCGAATATTACCTGTATAGTTTTCCTTTCTTTCTTTCAGTACCTATATTAGGTATCTTTCATATTCCAAACTTTAACAGATCGAATGGTTATTGGTAAATGCAAAGCACCCAACAGAATATATGAAGTCTATTCATTGGTATGTATAAGGTGTAGTGTATAGGTCGTTATTCTTTTATAGTTTTATTAGGCCAAATTTCTCTAAGACACAGCTCCAGCATTAAAAAGAACTCTGAGCATTGGAAAATGCGGGGGGGGATCTTCTGGATTCGGATTAATTTGAAATATAATTCCAAAATCTAAAGTAAGGAAGTAACGTCAAAGTCAAGTCACGTTCTAGAATATGAAGAAACCTTGCAGGAAAAATCCAAAAAAATTGAGTTCTTGTGAGGTTAAGTTTAATTCAGTTTTAAGCATGTATAACTATGAACCGTAAATATTTCCTAACGAAAAACTTTATGAATGCATTTATAACAATAATATCAATAAAATCATATACAAAACTATACCACTTAAAAATATAACGTCAGGAACACTGTAAAATAAAATTTGGTTTACAAATAATTTTATTCAGATGACAACACGTTATTCTCTACCTACCAAGAACTTATCATGTTTAATGGAATATCCTGTACTTTTGGAAAAACTTCTTACCTTGTTAAATCCAATCCTTATAACAGATCTTCTAGAGTGTGTAGAAACAACTGAATTCCCCGGTTGGAAAAATGGTCTCTTTGTCAAAGTATTTCTACTGGTACTGGACAGATTTAAGACTCCATTAAAAATCGAAAATCCGTCTTCGCTTATCTTATCCCCGTTTAACAGTATTCTCCACACCCGGACCGGCCTGCCTTCTCTCGAGAACCGTTAGTGTTTGTTCCTAAATGTGAGCCGCCACGGTATTATAGTTTATTGTGCCAAGAAACACAAACTGAGAGCGAGGTACAAGTAAATTAAATTTTTCTTTGCTTCATTTACAGGTAAATTTTCTTCATTGAATATTGTAACATTAAGATGGTGGTTTATAGAAAAAAATATAATGAAAATGGACCTGGGTAAAGCAGATAAAATTTTACAATAGATAGGGTGGATTTTACAATAGATAGGGTGGATTTTACAATAGATAGGGTGGATTTTTTAATGGTATTTTTGCCTTTCCATGTCACAACCCTAAAACCCAGCAGAGAGAGGGGGGGGGGCGGGTCAGGACATGGTTTGAAGAAAATATAATGCCTAACTAATTATTTTAATAATGCGGCAGGACCATATAGGCAATATTTCTGTGAATTAACTATTAAAACCCGTTTATTAAAGGATTAAAGGGGCTATTACACCTCATTTTTATCCAAAGGATCCCCCCAGTTTTTCAGATGGGGGATGTCCCCCACCGGGCTGATCATTTATCAATTTTTTTTAAAATTTAGTTTACTAAGTTTGACAAGTTTACAGTATTTTGAGGACTGGAATTTTTACATAATATAATTGTTTTCTCTATATATTACACCATTTAATCTTGTGTAATGTAAGAAAAATTATATTATATTTATCAATCCTAAACTTTCTATTTTCTACCTCTTGAGCGCAGTAAATTTTCAAAATGACGATTTTAACGGATTATGCTTTTTATTATTTCAGACAAATCCTGAATATACTAGAGGTAAGTAAAAGTCGTCTCGTCCAGCAAAACAGTTATAAAACTAAATGTGGAACTTAAATTAATTTTAAAAAATGTCTAGAAAATTTCACAAAAAGACCAGAAACTGGATGAGTGGGGGCATATTTCAGGCCCCAACCCAAAATTATACTAAAACGATATATGTAGGGCAACAGAAAGCTAATCAAAGACCATAGTTCGTTACCTATGTCCAATAACCATGAAGATAAAGACACCTACACGAACCAGAAGAACCGGGGGAGTAGACTAGAGTTCGAATCTGTGAGTACTTAACTTTTAAAACATTTTCGATGGAACATTAATCTACATAACGGTATTCCACTGTTATGGAGAAAAAAACAATAAGATATAAAACTACCCTCTTTCTCCTTTTTTTATAAGGCAACCCTCAAGAAGATTTAAATAAAAGATCATTATTAATGATTTGCACAATCCAGCTGCTGTCTATTTTGAAAGAAAAAATGAGAGAAATATTTCCTTTTTAAAAAAATCATTTAATTACGTGTACCTTTCTTTTAATCACTTTTACCTTTAGAACTTTATCATATTAAAATTACCTATATTTTATTTTTATGTACAGGGTGTCCCACGAAACATGACAGTTGGTGAAAAGTTCAGAATGTCTTTTTCCATAATTTGTTAAGTTACCAAGACAATTAGACTCCAGGGAAGGTTTATGAATCATCAAAATTTCAAATATTTGTCTCCATCAAAATTCGATCATCATTAAACTTTTTTAAATTTTGAAAATCCGCGAAATTTTTTGTGAAAATCCGCGAATTATTTTTGTTTTGTTTTATGATGTACACAAAGAGAACATGTTCACAATTAATTTAGGAGATGGGCGCGAAGCGCCCTCTAAGGCTAGAAAGAAGGGCGCGAAGCGCCTTGAATTTCTAGTCTATATATAAATTTGGCTTGTCTGTTTGTCTGTCTGTCTGTCTGTTTGTATCCAATAAACGTCAAAACGGCTGGACCGATCGGGCCCAAATTTTTATGCACAAAGAAAGTTTTTTTCAGAATTGCAATTGCGATATGAATAGTTAAATTTAAGTATTATTTGTATAATTTGGATTTTAAAGGACATTTTTTGATACACCATCGCTGGTGTTAGGATTTAAGGAAGTTTTAATGAGAGAAACTTACGAGGATGTCTGGTTTTGGCTGGTGGAAATTTAGTGTTACTAAGTATTAAGCCGGCAGGAGGACGGAAAATAATGTATCACCAAGAATATAAATAGATCATATGGACAGATGTCAACGAGTCGTATTCCTTAAGGAATATTTCTTATTTTAAACATTACAAGAGTCAAAATTGAGAAAATTGAAAGAATAGGAATAGTAAATTCAATCGTGAATTTTATAAAAACACCTGAAATATTTCTAGCGGCAAAGATGTTTTAAAACCCACAAAAGAAAGATTTGAGCCCCCAACTAATTTCCTTTTCTTTCAAGTTTCGGACTCAAATAATTGTTATTCCAGGAGCTTTTGACAAAATTTATTTCAATATTTCACTTCTGACATTGCCAATTTAAATCTTTAAAAATCTAAAATCTGTATCTGTATGTAGTTTTTAAAGGGAGTTTTAAGGAAGTAGGGTAAAGGCAATCCACACTCTTACGTCACAAAATGGACAAACAGCAACTAAACGCAGGTTATTATTATTATATCAAATTATTTTTGAACAGATAATGCTTAGCCTGAAATAAATTAATGACTTTAAAACTCAGCATCGCTTTTACAAAAAAAGTAAAATGTTATTATTCTTCTAAGTTCGAATTTACTTTCACGATGTTAGGTAATTGTCCAGTGTTAGATTATCATTTTAAAAAGTTGACAATGTGTCAGGGGAAATATGCAAGGTGAAAATTTACCAGAAGGCAATTTTAAGGAGACAATGAACCAAGTGTCGATTTTTCAGTATAGTGGCAAATGGTTAGGCGGCTTAAACTGACATATGTGCTTTCATGTTATTTAAGGCTGCGGGTATTAGGTCTTATGAAAGAAGAACCAAGCACTATGACAAGAACCATGTAGGGGCCAAGCACCACTGGTCAATTGTCACCTTGCAAGTTTTTAACTGTGAAAGTGATACTTGGCATTGTCACCTGTCAAATTGCCAATTTTCTACATATCAATTTGTCACTTGGCAAAATGTTAAACTGGTAAAATTGTCAACTGGCAAAACTACAGGGTGTCCCAATCTCATGATAGCTTGATTTTTACATTTTAGGATATTTTCGAAATTTATGTGACATTTTCGACATTTTGCCTTCACATCTATGTTTTGAAATGTTCGAATAACAGATACCAAATATACAACAAGTGTTCTGTTCCTTCTTGGTGTCTGTTTGTCTTTTGGATGTCCAATCATAACTCCGGAATCCCATGACCAATAGGCTTCAAATTTTAATAAAAACCACTGAAATGTTCTTAATTTGGTTTAAAAATTAAAAGTTGAATGAGTTGACTTTTGTAGCGAAAGTTAAGTTCTCAGGCAAAGCTGGATTCCCAATCTAGTACTTACCAGAAAGAAAAAAGTTATAAATTAATAGGCTGTTAGCGCGCTTCGCATCCCTTTTTTAGTAACAATTTTAGTTTTTATTTGTTGCTTTTCAAGTCGCTCTCTATTTCATCATTATTCATTAAAAACAAATTTTTGCGAATTTTTCTGTTTAAATTGGTGGGTTTTTAAGGATAGTAAATGTCAACATATTTTTCCTGCCAAAAGTTTTCTATTTCGACCTGCCATAAACCTTTTATGGGGTCATGTGTGTGCCACAACAAAGGAAATGAGTTTTTTGCCACAAACTAAAATGTTTAAACCCCTTTATCTTTAAAACCCGACGTCGTAAACCTTTGATATTTCAAACTATACATTTTGTTATATCAAAAAGTCCAAGTTAGAAATGTTGAAGATTTACATCATCAGACTGTAAAGATATAGGGATTAGAAAACCCATGTTTGTGGCAAAGACTCGATTCCTTTGGACCCAACACTAGACAGGCAAACCAAATTTATATATGAATGTTATTTTAAAACTTAAATTTTAAATTTCAATGCCCGGTCCAGGATAAATATATATTGAGAAAAAATTTAGAGGCATTAAATAAACAGGGTTACACATAAAGGATGAGACTTTGACAACCGTATAAAAAAGATGGAATTTCGGTAATTTGTACTAAATGTTTTGTATGTTTTGGGAAGAAAATGTTCTGCTAAATAATTTGACCCCGAGAGATACAAGTTTTCAAATTCAGGGAACTAAAACTGTGTTTTAAAAGTCTGCATAAAATCTGCAGTCACATCCTTTGCGGGTAACCCCTGTACATTAGCAGTAAACAAGACAGAAGCCAGGATGGGGCGCAATTGTCATTGAAACACTATTACTAGTATGGCAAGGTGGATAGCCAAAGATATAGGTAAGATGTGAACACTTGGTAAATTTTCCATTGGGATAGAATAGTAAAAATGAATT